TGAGGGGTTATGTCTGGGTGTTTCCGTAGGGGCGACCTCGGTGGAGAGTCCGAACCAGATGCCAGCACTGCACATTCCTCCTGAGTATGAGGATTTGGCGCTCGTGTTTAGTAAGACCAGAGCGGCACGGTTGCCACCTCATAGACAGGGGGATTGTGCGATAGACCTCCAGACAGGAGCCGCTCTTCCGCGGAGCCATGTGTATCCTTTGTCACAGGAGGAGAAAAGGGCAATGGAAACTTACATTGCCGAGTCTCTGAGACAGGGATACATACGGCCCTCCACTTCTCCCGCGTCCTCGAGCTTCTTTTTTGTGAAGAAAAAGGATGGAGGTTTGCGTCCGTGTATTGATTACCGCGGTCTCAATCAGGTAACTGTGAAAGATAGTTATCCACTCCCGCTGATTGGGACCATGACGGAGTCATTACACGGGGCACGGTTCTTCACAAAATTGGACCTCAGGAGCGCATATAACTTGGTGCGCATTAGGGAGGGCGATGAGTGGAAGACAGCATTTAGTACTACCTCCGGCCATTACGAGTATCTCGTCATGCCATATGGGTTAATGAATGCTCCATCAGTCTTCCAATCGTTTGTAGATGAAATTTTCCGGGACATGCAGGCGCAGGGAGTAGTGGTGTACATAGATGATATTCTTGTGTACAGTTCTACTCGGGCCGAGCATGTAGCCCTGGTGCGCAGGGTATTGAGGAGACTGTTGGAGCATGACCTGTATGTCAAAGCTGAGAAATGTCTGTTCTTTCAGGAGTCAGTTTCCTTTTTGGGTTACCAGTTGTCTGCGTCAGGGGTGAGAATGGAGGTGGACCGAGTGTCAGCCGTGCGTAATTGGCAAACCCCAACTACGGTTAAAGAGGTGCAGCGGTTCTTGGGTTTTGCGAATTACTACCGGAGGTTTATCCGGGGTTTTGGACAGGTGGCAGCTCCCATAACGTCTCTTCTGAAGGGGGGTCCGGTGCGCTTGCAGTGGTCGGCTGAGGCGGACAGGGCTTTTGGGAGACTGAAGGACCTGTTTACCTCGGCTCCGGTGTTGGCGCACCCGGATCCCACTTTACCCTTCCAAGTTGAGGTGGACGCGTCTGAGGCCGGTATCGGGGCAGTTCTTTCTCAACGATCCGGTACACCACCTAAGCTCCGCCCCTGTGCTTTTTATTCTAAGAAGCTCAGTCCGGCGGAGCGGAATTATGACGTAGGGGACAGGGAGCTGTTAGCCGTAGTACAGGCCCTAAAGGTGTGGAGGCATTGGCTTGAGGGGGCTCAGCACCCTTTCCTCATTCTGACCGACCATCGTAACCTGGAATACATTCGGGCAGCTAGGAGACTGAATCCTCGCCAGGCTCGATGGACTATGTTTCTCGCCCGGTTTGTGTTCAAGATCACCTACATCCCTGGGTCCCAGAACGGGAAGGCAGATGCTCTGTCCCGTCGGTATGACACGGAGGAGAGGTGCGTGGAGTCCATTCCCATACTACCGGAGTCTTGTCTGGTGGCACCGGTGGTGTGGGAGGTCGATGCGGAGATCGAGCGGGCGTTACGCACCGACCCTAGTCCTCCACAGTGTCCGGTGGGTCGGGCGTACGTCCCGCTCGAGGTCCGGGATCGGCTGATTTATTGGGCTCACACGTCCCCCTCCTCTGGACATCCAGGTATTGGCCGGACAGTGCACTGCCTTAGTACGAAGTACTGGTGGCCAACGTTAGCCAGGGATGTGAGGGTTTATGTCTCCTCCTGCTCAGTGTGTGCCCAGTGTAAGGCGCCCAGACACTTGCCCAGGGGTAAATTACAGCCCCTGCCCGTTCCACAACGACCCTGGTCTCACCTCTCGGTGGATTTTGTTACCGATCTTCCCTCCTCACAGGGGAATACCACCATCCTGGTCGTTGTGGATCGGTTCTCGAAGGCCTGTCGTCTCCTTCCCATGCCGGGTCTTCCTACTGCCCTACAGACCGCTGAGGCTCTATTTACTCACGTCTTCCGGCATTACGGGGTGCCCGAGGATATAGTGTCCGATCGAGGCCCCCAGTTTACCTCCAGAGTCTGGAGAGCATTTATGGAACGTTTGGGGGTCTCGGTGAGCCTTACCTCGGGTTACCACCCGGAGAGTAATGGGCAGGTCGAACGAGTCAACCAGGATGAAGGTAGGTTTCTGAGGTCATATTGTCAGGGCCGGCCGGAGGACTGGGCGAGATATGTGCCCTGGGCCGAGATGGCACAGAACTCTCTCCGCCACTCCTCCACGAGACTAACCCCTTTCCAGTGTGTGTTAGGGTACCAGCCGGTTCTGGCACCGTGGCATGAGAGCCAGATCGAGGCCCCCGCTGTGGATGAGTGGGTGCGGCGCTCGGAGGAGACGTGGAACGCTGCACACGTCCATCTGCAGCGTGCCATACGTCGACAGAAGACGAGCGCCGACCTACACCGCAGTGAGGGGCCAGTGTACGCACCTGGAGATCGAGTCTGGCTCTCAACCAGAAACCTGCCCCTCCGCCTGCCCTGCCGGAAGCTGGGTCGGCGGTTTGTGGGGCCTTTTAAAGTCCTGAGGAGATTGAACGAGGTGTGTTACAGGTTAGAACTACCTATTGATTACAAGAATATTAACCCCTCGTTCCATGTGTCTCTCCTCAGGCCGGTGGTAGCTGGTCCACTCCAGGACTTTGAGATTGAGGAGACTCCTCCGCCCCCGTTGGACATCGAGGGGGCTCCGGCGTACACTGTTCGGACCATCCTGGATTCGAGACGCCGGATGGGGGGTCTCCAATATCTCGTGGAGTGGGAGGGGTACGGTCCGGAGGAGCGGTGCTGGGTGCCGAGGAGGGACATTCTGGATCCGTCCCTGATGACCGAATTCCATCGTGGTCATCCTACGCGCCCTGCTCCGCGTCCTCCTGGTCGTCCCCGAGGCCGGAGGCGGCGCGCGGCTGGAGCCGCGCATCAAGGGGGGGGGTACTGTCACGGTTTCGGCCGAGGCGGCTCCTCCTCCTTGTTCGGGCAGGTTTCGCCGGTCGTCGTCTCCGGAGTACTAGCTGCCACCGCTCTATGTTTCTTGTTTGATTGGTTTTGTCTGTTAGTCACACCTGTTTTGGGTTATGTCTCATTTAGCACCCTATTTAGTTTCCTTGTTGTTAGTTTAGTGTTGTGTGTAATTGTTCGTGTCGTGTTGTTGCGCTACCCGTGTCGGTACGCTATTTTCATAGCTTCCTCCTTGTGTTTAGGAGAGTATTTTCGCACCTGTGTGTGCGCTCGCTTATTTACGCCTGTGTGCGTCCTTTTGCCTCCGGGCTGTTTGGATTATTTTTGTGTGCTCTAGTAAAGTCTTGTTGGACTTATCCTCTGCTTCCTGCGCCTGATTCTACACCACACCAATCCACAGCAACGTGACAGTCCCATCCCAGTGGAACAGTGGATTTATTCCAGGGATAACACTCCAAAGCTCCCAGGTTTGATCCCAGCTTTCTACTTTCAACAAAATACGGTAAAACTGGGTTTGTACAAAAAAATGTCTAATAAATTGTCATGTGATTCCAAATTATTGCCATATGTGTTTCTACATGGATTGTTGTACGACTAACTTCCTCAACAGTAAGATAAAACTAAAATATGAAAGAAACTGCCATGGACTGTTCAAAACATAACTTTGTCATTTTGGGAACATAGGAATAACATTTAAAAAACATTGAGGGAATGTTTTGGGCACCCTGATACAAACTGGACAGATTTTGTGTGTTGGGGGACCTAACTTTTGTAATGTCCCCACAACCTAAAGAAATGTGTTAGAAACTTTTAAAGAACATAAAAAATGTGGTTCTTGTAACATCAGGTGAATGTTTTTTGCACCCTAAAAGAAACATTGCATAATCCGCTGCAAAACTGGATAGTTTTTGTGTTTTGAGAACATATATTTTGTGATGTCCCCACAGAACATATATTTTGTGATGTCCCCACAGTGTTCCCACCAGACTGTTCTCACAACATAATGAAACATTCTGCAAACCTTTAAAATAACTAAATGTGTTCTGGGAACATTCTTGCAACGTCAGGCGAATGTTTTATACAAACATTGTATAATCATCAGCCCAACTGGACAGTTTTTGTGTTATGAGAACATTTGCTGCAACCTAACAAATGTTTTGGGGAACTTTCACAGAACCACTTTTGGTATGCTGGGTCCTGTAAAAATTAGGGACCACCATAAACAAGAGTAGTACTAAAATAAGTTCTAAAACGTTAATTTTTGATGAGATTAAAAATCTAAAAGCGGGTTTACAACACCCACACATAATCATACAGTAGATGAGACATATGGTCAAAGTCTTGTAGGTTATAAAGTCTTGTAGGTTATATCCATATATTCATATAACAGATGGCTGCTTCAAATGCAATCAAATATGTTTACACCAAAGTTTTCCAGACAAAGATCGCTTTCATGAAAACAACAGCATATTCTAATGATGAAGTTCTCATCAGAAGTCCAAAAGTGCTAATTGTGTGTACACAGTGTAGGAAGCAATTGAGGATGCATACTTGAAGATCCATGATGACTTACTGTTTGACCTTAGGGTTTATTATCTATGCATAGTCACTTTACCTCTACCTACATGTTACTGTTATTTTATTGTTGCTCTTTAATTATTATTATTATATATATATATATATTTTTTTCATTTATTTGTTTACATCAGTTTATTTAGTAAATACTTTCTTAACACTTATTTTTTTTCTCAAAACTGCATTGTTGGTTAAGGGCTTGTAAGTAAGCATTTCACTGTAAGGTCTACACCTGTTGTATTCAGCGCATGTGACAAATAACATTTGATTTGATTTGTTAAACCATTCACAGCCATCTGCAGAGCTGAGGCTAGGTTATCTATGCTAGGCCTTGTCCCTTGGCCCTTCTTGTGGGCTGAGTTCTACTCAAGGCTGATGTTATTCACCAGAGTCCCCCTTACTAAACACAGTCATCAATCGACACACTACAGGCCAACATGGCAAGGTGTTTGTATCTCAGCTCCTTCCTTCTCACTAGGATGGTCAATATCTCCATGGGAGTCAAAACTTGCCTTATTAAAACCTGGACCCCACACAGCCAAGGCAGAGCAATCAGCGTCCACTTGGCCCTACACCCCGACTCTCAAAAGAACAGGTAGGTGATTTGCAATTACTAATACGTTTAGTTTATAGGTTGCTTGTAACCATATATTTTATCTACTGTACATTTTAATTATGTGTTTATACTGCTCTTTCTCTGTTCTCACCCGGAGCCATATAATAGCAAGTATCTCTACAATGGGTGTCACATTGGGTGACTGCTGATAAATGTTAATTCAGCTGGCTGAGGATGAAAATCTTTTAATATGCTTTGATAAATAAAAAATAAAAGATGTTTGACCTTTTCAAAGATATTGATTAAGATAAATTAATGTACTCTATATCTGGAAAGTAATGGTTTATAACAAGGTTGAGCTCTTCCTTTCAAGATAGTTCTGATTTTTACAGCTCGTCAGAGGACAAAGTCACAGTACACTTTGTTAACCAAGATGGCATCAAAACCATTGAAGGAGAGACCCTGTTGGACATTGTCGTAAACAAAAACTTGGACATAAGTGGTTTTGGTATGTAAACAGCAAAAATAGACGAGGAGAATATGTATCACTGTATGTTGCCTTTAATGTATAAAAACAATCTACTATCCATGTGTCTTTAAGTCTTTTATTGTGTCTTCTGATGTGCTTCAGGTGCATGTGAGGGGACATCCACCTGTCATCTCATTTTTGACAAGACATTTTATGAGAAAATGGAACAAACGGTGGATGAGGAGATGGATATGCTAGATCTAGTTTACAGGCTTACCAAGACTGTAAGTGAGTAAAACATTTTTAGTGCTCTGACAGTGTACATGTGTTATGTAGAGCTTTCATTAGCTTGTGGAAATGTTATGATTTACATACATGATCAAGGCTCAAACAAAACAGGCACACACACATTTTCTTGATTTACTCCAGCCAGGGCCTGACTGCTGAACTGACGCAGAAGCAACAGGGTGCAGTAAATTCAGTAATTCAGTAAAACAAATCTGAAGTTGTTTATGTAAATGTTCTGAAACTATCTGCTTCTGATTGACAGGTCCTGTCTTGGTTGCCAGGTAACAGTGCAGAAGTGGATGGATGGTATGACTGTCCAAGTGCCCCAAGGGCTGAGGGACCCTGTGGGATCTAAAGGCAGCCAGTGATCCTTCATGCAACCTGCTACCCCTCACACCTACTGTACCAAGTCTAATCATCATCAACATCAAACATCCCCAGGAACATATCACTCAGGACCACTCTGACATCTACCCTTTGCCCTACCAATCAACTAGCTTGAAGTAGCTTCTGTTGTAGAATCAGTTGTAGCAATTACATGTTAGCGGTACATAGCATTAAAAAATATATACTGCCAGCAGGGGGCCATTGCCTAAAGTGGCATGCATTAAGAAGTAATTTCTGTAATTAGAAATAGTAAGTTATTAAGTGTTACAAACATTGTTTGTAGCTCTGTGACAAGTCACCTAGCCTGCTGGCTTCATAATGTTTTCTTGTTTTTATGTTAACCTGCCCGGGGACTGCAGACGGAAATTAGCTGCTAGCTAAATCTGATACAACACATATTTTCTCAAGTGTACTGAGACTAATATATTTGATGTACATTGTCCCTGCTCAAATAAACTCAATAAATACACTCAATTAATAAATAAAAGGAAACCTTTAGAAATATGGACCAGCTTTATTCAGTAGTGCTCTGCAAATTGCTGTTAGCTAGACATTCATTATACAGAAGGAGGTACCATAAACCACATACAATTCCCTAAAATCAAAATAAATGTGTTTTCAGGCAAACTCCCTACAATTAATTTTGTTGAAAAGTTTGACCCACTTATTAAAACCACTTAATCTTTGTGCAAAACAATAAGTTGGTAATTAACCATGTCTTTTTTTAATATTATGCCTAGAATGCTGGGACTGAGAAGGCATGGGAAAACATATTCAGAGATGTTCAGGGCCAACATAATTTATTATAAGTGGTGCCATCAACATAAACTCGTACACACATTGATATGAAGGTTAACGGCACATTTGATTCTTGTTAAAAGTTATTGTTCTAGGATAAAATATGCCTAAACACAAACAATGATGTGGTAAAAGTGGTACAGTATGTGTTATTATATATTTAAGACCGTTATATCAATGCATCTAAATGAGATCTATACATGAGGCTCCATTTTGGCAAATGCGAAATAGCACTGAACTGTGCAAAAACACATCACTATATGCAATGTGATTTACATTGGTAATTTTTCTTTAGCGATAAAAATGAGAAGTAGGCGATTACTTATTAACCAGATGTGAACTATACAGCAGGAATATGTGTTGCACACCATGCAATCACTTTACAGTATTTGGAACTCAGTTTGGATACTATTCCATCTCAGGTATTTATATTGTTACAATTATTCTGTATGTTTTTTTTGTGTGCAAAACAGAATCCAGGTAAGCCCCTGAAAACTTAAATAAATGTGTATGTGTTTGTGTTTGCCCATATACAAATTGTGCATCTTATACCTAATTTGCCTCACATTTTGGCGTTTTTACTTTTTCACCGACAGATTATCACTGCCCCTCCAGTAAACACACACATCACATTGATGTCAAGATGTCTGGTCCTTATTCATAGCCTCAATCATTTTCTATACAGAAGCATTAAGCATCCCCACTCAGTTGGAAGAAGTGCTCTGTCTGAGTGGTTTGAGTAAATAACACTCATTTCCACTGAGTAACTACACACAGGACATTGCAGAGACTTTGCATTGAAATTGCTCATCAAGTTGACTCGTTTGACAAGATGAACTGCAAGTACCAACCCCTTCAGTCTTGACCATGTGACAGTCTTACTGCCTTGCTTACCTTTCATTAAACATCCTTCATACATTCATCTGCATTCATCAATAATCCCAATGCCTGCATTCAATCTGCACCATCCAACTAGGAAAAAACCGGTTGAATCAATGTTGTTTCCGCGTCATTTCAACCAAAAAATTAAATGTGATGATGTTGAATCCATGTGGAAAACTGATTTGATTTGCAAAAAGTCATCAATTTAAGGGAATCTTGTAATTTTTTCACCCAATTTTTTACCTAAATCCAATGACATGTTCAAATGGTTTGTTGTTTTCATGTTGAATTCATCTTAGATGACAACTCAACCTAATGTAAATCAAAATTAGACGTTGAACTGACGTCTGTGCCAAGTGGGATCCTTCATTGACTTAATTCATAATTTAGCAATAAATACATACAAAGAGGAGGATGAAATAATCCAGGATTATCTACATTCTGATAACCCATTATAAAACACCAAATGATGAGCATTAACAATCAGACAACTGAGTCCTCACCATGTAATAGCTTTGTGGCATTTTCTGTTGGTTCCGACATTTTACTTTGCCACTGGAGTTTACTTATGAGGAGCTCTTTTTCGATCGCTTTTGCATCTGAGTGGCCATTCTTGCTGTCACTTGAGTTGAAGTATTCTCTCACAGTATTTCTGACAGTTGCTGGCAGTTTTATTCTAATAGTGTGGCTGATTGCACTTGCAGTTTTGTGGCTGATTGTTCTTGCAGTCTTGTGGCTGACTGTGCTTGCAGTTTTGCCATGAGTTTTAGATGATGTGTGGGAGAGAGGGGTGCACCCAACGCCCAACTGTTCAGGGACCACTTCACCACGGTGAATATCTATTTTGGCCTTTGCTCCTTTCTCGTTATTGGCAGATTGTCTGGTTGACACAGAATGCAGGACCAGTGGAGTGTTTTGACCATAGAACACTGTCTGCGGTATGTGGAGCTGCATACTTTGGGCCAGCAGTTCTGCATTTTCCTGATGTTCTCTCCCTGTGTCAGACACCAGATAGACTCCACACTCTTCCACAGATTGATCAGACTGTTTTTTAACCAGCATTCTGTTAGAGGAGGTTTAAAATGTACTTCTTTCTTGACAGCCTGTTTTTTTTCTTTTTCTCAGCTGTATGTGTGCAATGGATGTTTCTTTGGTCTGCCCCTTTGACTCTGACGTCTCGAACACTTTATCCTTCTGGTGCACCTGCTCCCCTCTCCAATCAGAGAGAATCTTCTCACTGTCATCTGGTTGAGGGACAGGGCTTTGACTATTCTCACCTTTTAAACTACAGAGGCTTTGAGTGAGCATCTGGTGGTCTTCTCTATTCTGAATCCTAATAGAACGGTAATGCTCCTTGTCTTCCTCTCTCTCATCATACTCATTATACCAGTCCAAAACCTCGGGTGCCTGAGCCACTGCCGCTGGGAATGTCATGCTCCAGTCTTTTGGGAATTTCTTCGGGGTGTCTGGAGTGAGAGGGCGTAAACGTGCCGACATGCCGAAAAGGAAGGGGAGGGAGTTGGACTCGTTGGGAGAGGACACACAGTCGGAGCAGAAGGAGAAGGCGCTGTCTATAGAGCTCAGAGAGGAGCTAGATGGGGAGGTGGCTGTGGAGGACAGGCTGGAGAAACTGGACCTGTTGGACACGGCCAGCCTCTGGGCAGGGTGCCAGAACCTAGAGGCTACCTGAGGGGACCTCCAGAAGGCATACCTAGACTTGCTGCCACCTACCCTGGGGCTGCTGTCCCCCTTTAGTAGCCCCTTAGTGTGGGATTTGTGTGTGTGTTGGGAGTGGTCTGCACGGCCACACATCACTGCTGCATCGCAGCTGGACTGGCGGGCGACAGGTGTGTAGAGCTGGCTGTGGGGCCCCAACCGGGGGGAGCCTAGACACACAATGGGCTCCGAGGAGCAGCGGGCTGAGCGAAGACTCTGGGTCCCCATCAAGGAGCAGATAGACCCACTGGAGAGGGAAGACATTAAGTCTAGATTCCCACAGCTATAAGCGCTGTCCTCGTTCACATGTTGCTTTTTCAAGGAGTCAACCTCATTCAGAAGCCCCAAAATCTCTTTCTCTTCTTTCAAGACCAGTTTCCCCAGTGGCAGGAAAAAGGGTTCCCTGTTAGGAGAGTGAAGTCCTTCTTGCTTCTCACAGTCCCAATGATCAGACGAGTAGACCTGCTGGTAAGACTCCACTAAAAGAAAAAACACAAAAATATCAAATTGAGAGCACATGGTTACCATGAAAATGCTAAAATAGTGTAGAAACACTTATCTAACATAGATCTCACCCATGACATCCTCTACAGTTCCTTGTTCATTCTTTGGCTCAGTGAAAATGCACTCAACATCTTCACCAAAAATGGCTGGGGTGTTTTCAATGAGGAGTTGAACAAGAGCTGCAACCTGCATGGGAGACATGAAAAACTAATTGAGGCAGAAACCTTTAACAAATAGGTAGCACACGTACATTATCTACTCATGGATGATAATGATATTTTCTTGCTAGCTAAAACACTAGTCATTACTGGGGTTCAATGAAAAGTACTTTCAATTCAATGTATTATTCCAATTTACACCGAAACAGACAACTTATATCTTATAAGTTAACTTTGATGTGTTTAGAACTCTTGAGAACTGTTTTTATCTTGGTGATGTTTCACAGCAACACAAAGGTCAAACACTAGATCAATGTGCTGACGTTTAATTGGCATAATAATTGTGTAGGCCAAATTGTGTCGCAGACAACAATGTACCAGCTAGACTGTTTTTGATCCTCTGCAAATTAAACGTAATTCATTTCTTAGCCTTGACATTATGTTGCTCTTTAAAATGATTATTTTAGCAGTAAGCTGCTGAAGAGATAGAAAATGCCTATTCCAAAAGCAGTACCAAATATGAACTGACAATTTCAGCATATACAGTGGGGTCCGAAATTATTGACACCCTTGATAAAAATGAGCAAAACTGACTGTGTAAAATAAATAATTTAAATACTGAGCTACTGTATGCAATAAAAGGGGAAATTATATTATTTTATACTAATACAATTGCTCAGAGAAAGATTTTGTTTAAGAAGTAATAATAGTTTTTCTCAAAAAGGTAGAGGTCAACTTTATTGACACCGGTAAAGATTCTTATGAATAAAGTATTCAAAAGTGTAGTATTTGGTCCCATATTCCTAGCACGCAATGAGTACATCAAGCTTGTGACTCTACAAACTTGTTGGATGCATTTGGTTGTGTTTCAGATTATTTTGTGCCCAATAGAAATTAATGGTAAAAAATGCATTGTGTAATTTTGGAATCACTTTTATTGTAAATAAGAACAGAATATGTTTCTAAACACTTCTACATTAATTTGGATGCTACCATGATTACAGATAATCCTGAATTAATCATGAATAATGAAGAATGAGAAAGTTACAGAGTGTCAAAGATCATACCACCAAGACATGCTTACCTCCCCTGTTATTGGTAATGATGAGAGGTTAGCATGTCTTGGGGGTATGATCTTTGACCATACATTGTATAGTAGTCGGGTGCTGGATCCTTATAGTCCATAGTGAAAGACATGGTCAGCACACAATAGTACTCTATGGATATTTTATAAGTACCATAAATCATCTTCAATAATTAATTTATTTCTCTGTGTACAAAATACAGAGAAAAATAATTAATCCATGAATTATTGAATATGTTTTATGGTACTTCTAAAATATGCATTGGGTACTATTGTTGTTGGGCAGGGGATCCCTCAGTAAATTTACCTTTTTAGTGGACTGACTCTCCTCCTCCGGCCCAGTGGGAACAGGCAGCCACAGCATGTTGGGAGCGATACAGAGGGCCAGGTTGAAAGCGTTCATCTGGTTCTCCTGCGAGCGCTTCTGGATGTGGTAGAGAAGGGCGAACAGGTAGTGGAGCAAGGTAACATTATCCTCTGGAAGCTGGCTCAATAGTCTGAGGGTACAGAAAATGAAATACCATTAATACCCCAACGGCTAATTGAGGCTAGTAATGTAGAGTGGCTGATGCACACAATGATTCAAACCTTGAAACCTGTGGCTGGCAGAAAAGCTAAATAAAAGGACATATCAAACAATAGTCTTTAATAGAGGTTAAATGCCCTCAATAAAATGAATTCAATAGTTTTGTGCATCTAGAATAACGCACCGAACTGCCATGCTTGTCTTTCAGTTCCAATAGCATTCTCAGCACTTCATGTCCTGTTTTAAAAGTCATTCAACATCTCTCTTTTTTATCTCAATATCCTTGAAAAACCACACAGAGCACATTTAACAAATGAAGAGGGAGTGCAGTAGCAGAGAGAACAGTCTATGACTAGGGTGGTTGGAGTTTTTGAAAATGTTTAGGGCCTTCCTCTGACCCTGCCTGGTATAGAGGTCCTGGATGGCAGGAAGCTTGGCCCCAGTGATGTACTGGGCCGTACACGCTACCCTCTGTAGTGCCTTGCGGTTGGAGGCCGAGCAGTTGCCATACCAGGCAGTGATGCAACCAGTCAGGATGCTCTCAATGGTGCAGCTGTATAACTTTTTGAGGATCTGAGGACCCATGCCAAATCTTTTCAGTCTCCTGAGGGGGAATAGGCTTTGTCGTGCCCTCTTCACGACTGTCTTGGTGTGTTTGGACCATGATAGTTTGTTTGTGATGTGGACACCAAGGAACTTGAAGCTCTCAACCTGTTCCACTACAGCCCCGTCGATGAGAATGGGGGCTTGCTAAGTCTTCTTTTTTTCCTGTTGTCCACAATCATCTCATTTACATTTACGTCATTTAGCAGACGCGCTTATCCAGAGCGACTTACAGTTAGTTATTATTATTAATTTTTTTTTTTCATACTGGCCCCCCGTGGGAATCGAACCCACAACCCTGGCGTTGCAAACGCCATGCTCTACCAACTGAGCTACCTCCCTGCCGGCCATTCCCTCCCCTACCCTGGACGACGCTGGGCCAATTGTACGCCGCCCCAATGGTCTTCCGGTTGCGGCCGGCTACAGCAGAGCCTGGATTCGAACCAGGATCTCTAGTGGCACAGCCATGCAGTGCCTTAGACCACTGCGCCACTCGGGAGGTCTTGATCACTGCGCCCTCTCCTTTGTCTTGATCACGTTGAGGGAGAGTTTGTTATCTTGGCACCACACGGCCAGGTCTCTGACCTCCTCCCTATAGGCTGTCTCATCGTTGTTGGTGATCAGGCCTACCACTGTTGTGTCGTCGGCAAACTTAATGATGGTGTTGGAGTCATTATATAAGAGGTGGCCAACCCTTCTGGAGAGCTAGAGGGTGCAGGCTTTTGTTTAATCCCTGCTCTAACACACTTGTCTTATGCTTATCAAGGAACTGATGAGACCTAATTTATTTTAGCCACTCATCAAAAAAAACATAATGTATTTGTGTCTCACCTTTTTATCAACTCAATCTTGTCCTCAATATCATCAGCCGCCATGACATCCATCCACTTCTCATACAAAACAGTACTGAGCACACTGCCAGGGAGGTTGCGCAGAAAGTCCTGTTCATTCAAATATAGTAGTCTTAGCAATCAAAATCTATACAGTACAGAATGAAAATAGTGACTTTTAACTTTTCGTCCTCCATTTTAACATGCTACTGTTACTGCTGGCCATAATATCTATGTTTTAAATCCTATGCAGGCTAGTAAGTAATCTAAAACACAAGTGTGACTTCAGAAAGCACTTACAGTGATGACTGATGCAGCAACAAACACAGATTCCCCCTCCAGCTGAACGCTGTTGCCGGAGTTCAGTCTCTCCTTCAGCTCCCGGCAAGTCTTAGCATTGGCCGAGCGCCGGAAGATCCCTGTAGTGGTGGGGCCCTCGTGATACAACAGATTCAGCAAGTCCTGTATGGACAATAGATAATGGATCAGACATAATATGTAGTTTGTAGCCGCAACTACAAGCTGTGAATAATTTGCCCACCATGACTGATATTATCCTAATTTGCCCATCATGATTGTTATTATCTTCGCAGCTTTCCCAACAGTAGAGAGTTCTGTAATACTTTATATTTTTTCATAAATGAGCGGATGACAACTCACCATGATGGGTCTGGGTAGGTTTCCATGACGACAGATGGAGGACAATGAAAGACCAAAGAGCTTGTGAGGAGTGGTGGGGGATTCAGGATATCCACCTGCTTGGCTGCCATGTCTTCTTAGGGCCCAGTCTATCAGAGACCTCTTTCTCTTGATATGTTTCTGAGTTGAATCTGATGGAAATTATGAACAGCACATTCTTTAGAAACTCTTTGAGTGACAGATATGTGGTTGTCTAAATAATGAACAGACATAAAGCCTGTTTGATCCATATTAATACAAACCTGCTTTCAGCTAAACCCACATTGCAGAAAAAAGGATTAAAACAGTATCTTGAGTAACAAATAAATGCTATTCCCAGAAAATAACCTACACTTAAGAAAATGGTTTGGGTGCTCTATAGAACCCTTTTTAAAAATTTTCAATAAAGAACTGCAAAGGACCACTGTCATTACAACCCTTTTCTGGTACTACATATAACCTTTATTTAATGGTTTTTATAGAACTTTTATGGTGCTGTAATAACCCTTTCTCATTAAGGTTCTATAAAGAACTATTCTCAATCTCAAAGGTTCTACAACAAAAACTTTTGAAGAACCGCAAAGGGTTCTTTATTCTTTATTTAGCCATATTATATTGTTTTGTGTTGAATTAAGTTCCATAGATGTTATTATTGTGTTATTTGACAAGTTGAATCAGGTATACTAGCTCTGGAATATATCAAATACAAGGAATGACTGGGGGTCGCCGAGGAGAGGTTTGAGAACCACTAATTTAGACAACAGTTCTTAATTGACACAAGGCCTTACCACATTTTTCTCTTTACCCCATGGCAAAATGTGTAGAATTGTAGGAAGACACTGTTGCTGGCCATATTCAATGTTTTTGTTAATCCCTTTGGCACATTCTTCAGATGTAAGTGGTATATTTTCAAAACTCTAAGTACAAAACTCTAAACTGATAACCCTTGTAATGCTCCCTATCTTATGTTTAGAACCTTTGATTGTGCAATTATTGGGGTTTCACACATCTTTCACCCCTGCAAAATAAACGTTTTCTGTGAAATACCATGAGAATATTATTTTTTTGCCATTTAGCAGACACTCTTATCCACACCGACTTACAATTAGTGCATTCATCTTAAGATAGCTACAGTTGAAGTCGGAAGTTTACATACACCTTAGCCAAATACATTTAAACTCAGTTTTTCACAATTCCTGACATTTAATCCTAGTAAAAATTCCCTGTCTTAGGTCAGTTAGGATCGCCACTTTATTTTAAGAATGTGAAATGTCAGAATAATAGTAGAGAGAATGATTTATTTCAGCTTTTATTTCTTTCATCACATTCCCAGTGGGTCAGAAGTTTACATACACTCAATTAGTATTTGGAAGCATTGCCTTTAAATTATTTAACCTGGGTCAAACGTTTCGGGTAGCCTTCCACAAAGTTGGGTGAATTTTGGCCCATTCCTCCTGACAGAGCTGGTGTAACTGAGTCAGGTTTGTAGGCCTCCTTGCTCGCACACACTTTTTCAGTTCTGCCCACAAATGTTCTATAGGATTGAGGTCAGGGCTTTGTGATGGCCACTCCAATACCTTGACTTTGTTGTCCTTAAGCCATTTTGCCACAACTTTGGAAGTATGCTTGGGGTCATTGTCCATTTGGAAGACCCATTTGCGACCAAGCTTTAACTTCCTGACTGATGTCTTGAGATGTTGCTTCAATATATCCACATCATTTTCCTTCCTCATGATGCCATCTATTTTGTGAAGTGCACCAGTCCCTCCTGCAGCAAAGCACCCCCACAGCATGATGCTGCCACCCCTGTGCTTCACAGTTGGGATGGTGTTCTTCGGCTTGCAAGCTGACCCCTTTTTCCTCCAAACATAACGATGGTCATTATGGCCAAACAGTTCTATTTTTGTTTCATCAGCCCAGAGGACATTTCTCCAAAAAGTACGATCTTTGTCCCCATGTGCAGTTGTAAACCGTAGTCTGGCTTTTCTATGGCGGTTTTGGAGCAGTGGCTTCTTCCTTGCTGAGTGGCCTTTCAGGTTATGTCGATATAGGACTTGTTTAACTGTGGATATAGATACTTTTGTACCTGTTTCCTCCAGCATCTTCACAAGGTCCTTTGCTGTTGTTCTGGGATTGATTTGCACTTTTCGCACCAAAGAACGTTAATCTCTAGGAGACAGAACGCGTCTCCTTACTGAGCGGTATGACGGCTGTGTGGACCCATGGTGTTTATACTTATTATTGTTTGTACAGATGAACGTGGAACCTTCAGGCATTTGGAAATTGCTCCCAAGGATGAACCAGACTTGTAGAGGTTGACAATTATTTTTCTGAGGTCTTGGCTGATTTCTTTTGATTTTCCCATGATGTCAAGCAAAGAGGCACTGAGTTTGAAGGTAGGCCTTGAAATTCATCCACAGGTACACCTCCAATTGACTCAAATTATGTCAATTAGCATATCAGAAGCTTCTAAAGCCATGACATCATTTTCTGGAATTTTCCAAGCTGTTTAAAGGCACAGTCAACTTAGTGTATGTAAACTTCTGACCCACTGGAATTGTGATACAGTGAATTATAAGTGAAATAATCTGTCTGTAAACAATTGTTGGAAAAATTACTTGTGTCATGCACAAAGTAGATGTCCTAACCGACTTGCCAAAACTATAGTTTGTTAAAAAGAAATGTGTGTAGTGGTTGAAAAACGAGTTTTAATGACTCCAACCTAACTGACTGTAAACTTCTGACTTCAACTGTAGGTGAGACAACAACACATCACAATAGTATAATGTACATTTTCCCTCAACAAAGTATTTATCAGCAAAGTCAGTGCTAGTGGGAAAAGAGAAGTGCCGGGAGGCGCCGTGAGAGTTACATTTTGTTTAGTCACCAATACATCATGTAATGATAGGCTCCCGAGTGGCGCAGTGGTCTAAGGCACTGTATCTCAGTGCTTGAGGAGTCACTACAGACCCCCTGGTTCAATTCCAGGCTGTATCACAACCGGCCGTGATTGGGAGTCCCATAGGGTGGTGCACAGTTGTCCAGGTTTGGCCGGTGTAGGCCGTCATTGTAAATAAGAATTTGTTCTTAACTGACTTGCCTAGTAAAATAAAATAGGCCCATCATTTAATCCAATAGCAAAAAATACAGTAACTGTTATTTTTGAAGTGCTGAATAGAAAGAATAGTAGATGGTAAATATAATTTTCCATCCAGTATTTGACTATAACTTCACATGCAATATTTGTATCCAAAGGCAAGCTTGTTGAGAAATACTGTATGTCAGTCTTACAGTTTCATTATCCAGTTTTATTATCCTTATCCAGTTCAAGAATAAGGGTATTGTAAAGTAGTTGACTACTGTAAAAACGTACCACAGTGTTGTATGCCATTTCTGCCCCATGCAACATGTACAACATCACCTTCTTTTTTTACATGACTTGTCAACTGAAACAGTGTCTCTCTGCTTGAAATTCATCAGCTTACAGTGTATCAATGAAATTCAGATAATGAGTGGAATATATTGTTATATACAACCCAGGTATTTCAAATAGTAGCACATAGAGTAACTCTTTCCACTTTGTCCTATTGAAGCACACTGGCTGATGAAGAATGATGATGCATTATATGATCTGGTTTTACCATATATGATCTGGTTTTACCTTCCAACATAAATGAATGTCAAATTGATACATTTATGAGTAAAAAATATAGAAATGTATAGTGTTAAAGTATATGCGTTAACTAGGCACTACATAATTTTGGTTAAGTAGTTATCCGTTTTGAGCAGTATTGTTAACAAATTACAAGAAAATCGTGTCAAAAGTAAAGTGAATACTTAGACATTTTTATAAGCGGATACTTAGATGATCTGTTTGGATTTTTGTGCATAGAGTTCTGAAAGTGTACCACGTACTTGTGAAAATTGCACCAAAATGATTGAAAAAAATTTGTATATACATTAACTAGGTACTACATAGTTTTGGTTCAGTAGTTATCAGTTTTGAGCAGTTTGATTAAGTGATAGTTAATTGTATTGTTAACAAATGACAAGAAAATCATATCAAAAGTAAAGTGAGTATTGCATTTTGAAAAGAGACTTAGATTGAAAGAGAAAATGTTACATTTTAGTCATTTAGCAGACGCTCTTATCCAGAGCAACTTACAGTTAGTGAGTGCATACATTTTCATACTGGCCCCCAATGGGAATCAAACCCACAACCCTGGCGTTGCAAACGCCATGCTCTACCAACTGAGCTACACAGGACCATGCTAAGGGTTTTGAAACATGAGCCATTTTGATGATCTGTTCAGATTTTTGTGCTTAGAGTTGTGAAAATGTACCACATACTGAAGTGATAAAAAAAAAACTGTAATGGCATAACCACACCCAAAAATATTCGAATGAGCCACCATCCCTACATTTGTATTATAACTTAAAGAGGAAAGAGTCATTATGGTTGCACATAGAACCATCACCCTTACCAAAGAACCATTGATTAACCTTGTTTTCTAAGTATGCAGACACAGACAGGGACAATACAGCTACAAAGGCATGCATGAGAAGACATGGATGTGAGCACTGATGGCTGGTGGAAAAAGTAAAATACTTGGGTCTTGCCATAAATTGTTTGGTAGAAAACTTTGGCATTACAGGACAGCCGCTGAAAACACCATTAAAAGGCACAATGCAGAGAAATCACCATACATGTTTTTTCAGATACACTTTTCACATCGGTGCATAGAAATGACCTGGCAGAATAATTTATTTGGCATTTGAGAATACATTATTAATTATAAAGAGCAGCAAAAAGCTTAATTATAAAATCATTTGTATTACTTTTTTTCCAGAATGTTATGTTAAGACAGAGAGACAGTATGCTATACCTCCAACAAGCAATGGCACATTTAAAACACTGTAATTATTCGAATTACAGGAAGCGGATTCCGATAACGTCCGTAGAACTACATGTGCTACCGCGATAGGAAGTTATTTACTATCTCCATTCTAAATAAACCACTTCCGTAAAGAGGGCTAGATAATTGATGTGTAGAAAGTAGAAAACGTTTAACAAAATCTCTCTCTCTCTCTCTCTCTCTCTTTCTCTCTCTCTCTCTCTCTCTCTCTCTCTCTCTCTCTCTCTCTCTCTCTCTCTCTCTCTCTCTCTCTCTCTCTCTCTCTCTCTCTCTTAGTGAAAGTTAATGAAGGATTCACCTGCTCGGCCATGTCCTCCCCCTTCAGCCTTTAGCCTGAGGATGAAGCAAGGGCCGGAAGCGTCTTTGAGAAGGTGATCAAGGTAGAGGCTCCCATCTACAGTCAGGATGTTGTTGGTGACTGCCAAGGCTTTGCGGTCCGTTTCCCTCAAGGAGTTTAGGATAATACTGAAGGGATGCTCATGACCTGTCAGACATGACACATGTAGATCTGATCAGATCAGGTTTTTGTGTAGAATTGGAGAATGCATTCACTCACTGCTGCTACCATTTCTGTTTAATCATGACTGATGATGTGGTCTGGATGGTCAAGTGGTTAGTGCTGTTGCTCCTGGTACATGTATATACCACTGTCACAGTAGGATTGAATCCGGCCTGGTAATCTGTCATTAGCTTACGATCTATTCAAATAAACCAACAAAATCGAAAGGAGTGGGAAGGGGTCAAAAGGCAAAATCGAAAAGGAGCAATTAAATTATGCTAGATACATGATGAATCACACGCCCCTTATAATTACATGGGCTTAAAGACAAAACAAATGTTAGAAAAAAATGGTTGCAGTCTTACCAATCCTAACCGATTTTCTTTCAAACTGAGATCACCTACATTTCCCAGGGTACATTTTGTTGCTGCTGATTCAAATGAGCACTAAATTATATTATTTTCTACCAGTATTGACTTGAGACAATGAGGTATGTGCCCTTTAGACAGAATAGCATGCAGTTGTATGAGACATTTATTCCAGACACACAAAGGCCCCCATGAATCCCTCCTCCGATCCCCTAGACGCTTAATATGCCTTGGCTTTGTGTAGAGGCTCCTGTAGCCATGTCGCCAGATTACAGTTTCAAGTCACAAACCCTCCATGTGAACACACCTAGGATGAGTACTGACCAAAAACCTACCCAACTGAAATATTGGTTTGGTTTGGGTAATCCCTTGACTACACAGAAACACTATGGTCTAAAACCCAAGCCAAGCCAAGTGTGCCTCCATCCTGACTGTGTTTGGAGGCGTGTTTCAGTGCACAGTGATAGTACTGACGCATTTCCTCACCGATAAGAGGGTATGGGGCTTCCTCTCTCCCTGAGACAACCCAGAGGCGGTAGTCAGTGGGTCTGCCCTATGGGAGTAGAAAAAGACAATTATGTTTAGGAGGAAGAAAGGAAAATCAGAGATATCTACACGGCCAGGCATGGTCAGAGACAGGAAATGCACAAAACGTTGTCAATTATCCTTGTTCCTCTTGTGATACTCTTCTGGCCTACTCTAATGATCTAGGAGTAAAAATTTAGGCCAGTGGTAGCGGAGAATGATCTAAATTCTAAAGAGTAAACCTTATAAAACTAAACAAATGATTTACTTAAACATGTTGCAACATATGTAACATTGCAGAGCTTGGAGAGCTTGAGTCTAGGTCAGGGCTCTCCAACCCTGTTCCTGGAGAGCTACTGTCCTGTAGGTTTTTGCTCCAACCCTAATCTAGCGCACCTGATTCTCCAGGAACAGGGTTGGAGAAACCTGGTCTAGGTCTTGCATGATTATCTTCAACTTTAAAAAAGGAATAATATATTATTCTATAATGATAGTAATTTATTTTTTTCATACATAATACAAACAGAAAATCCATACAGAAAAAATATGGATTACATCTAATAATAGAGCTAAGACATAATGACTACAGTAACTAGTGGCTACAACTCACAGTGAGTCTTAACTGTTGGGTGAGGATCCTGATGACTTTGTCAATGTCGTCTTTATTGTCCACATTCACAGTTGTCTACATTAAAACAAAACACAAATACGTACACAAAGATTGTCTGAGGTTACTTTAATAAATGTAATGTTAACTAGGAAAAGTCATACATTCATTCAATGTATTTCATTTAGAACTTTAACTTTTGGGGGAAATTATCAATAAGCATTGGAGAAGCAGTAGTAGTTGTAGATGAGTGAATTCCCTTACCATTGCACTATTTCCAATATTCATGAAAACAACCTTCATGGTTAGAATGCTGGGATATTCCACTTTCTTGGATTTGGTGATGTGCCTGTGGCAAATAGGAATACAGTGGGGAAAAAAAGTATTTAGTCAGCCACCAATTGTGCAAGTTCTCCCACTTAAAAAGATGAGAGAGGCCTGTAATTTTCATCATAGGTACACGTCAACTATGACAGACAAATTGAGAGAAAAAAAATCCAGAAAATCACATTGTAGGATTTTTAATGAATTTATTTGCATATTATGGTGGAAAATAAGTATTTGGTCACCTACAAACAAGCAAGATATCTGGCTCTCACAGACCTGTAACTTCTTCTTTAAGAGGCTCCTCTGTCCTCCACTCGTTACCTGTATTAATGGCACCTGTTTGAACTTGTTATCAGTATAAAAGACACCTGTCCACAACCTCAAACAGTCACACTCCAAACTCCACTATGGCCAAGACCAAAGAGCTGCCAAAGGACACCAGAAACAAAATTGTAGACCTGCACCAGGCTGGGAAGACTGAATCTGCAATAGGTAAGCAGCTTGGTTTGAAGAAATCAACTGTGGGAGCAATTATTAGGAAATGGAAGACATACAAGATCACTGATAATCTCCCTCGATCTGGGGCTCCACGCAAGATCTCACCCCGTGGGGTCAAAATGATCACAAGAACGGTGAGCAAAAATCCCAGAACCACACAGGGGGACCTAGTGAATGACCTGCAGAGAGCTGGGACCAAAGTAACAAAGCCTACCATCAGTAACACACTACGCCGCCAGGGACTCAAATCCTGCAGTGCCAGACGTGTCCCCCTGCTTAAGCCAGTACATGTCCAGGCCCGTCTGAAGTTTGCTAGAGTTTGCATTTGGATGATCCAGAAGAGGATTGGGAGAATGTCATATGGTCAGATGAAACCAAAATATAACTTTTTGGTAAAAACTCAACTCGTCGTGTTTGGAGGACAAAGAATGCTGAGTTGCATCCAAAGAACACCATACCTACTGTGAAGCATGGGGGTGGAAACATCATGCTTTGGGGCTGTTTTTCTGCAAAGGGACCAGGACGACTGATCCGTGTAAAGGAAAGAATGAATGGGGCCATGTATCGTGAGATTTTGAGTGAAAACCTCCTTCCATCAGCAAGGGCATTGAAGATGAAACGTGGCTGGGTCTTTCAGCATGACAATGATCCCAAACACACCGCCCGGGCAACGAAGGAGTGGCTTCGTAAGAAGCATTTCAAGGTCCTGGAGTGGCCTAGCCAGTCTCCAGATCTCAACCCCATAGAAAATCTTTGGAGTGAGTTGAAAGTCTGTGTTGCCCAGCGACAGCCCCAAAACATCACTGCTCTAGAGGAGATCTGCGTGGAGGAATGGGCCAAAATACCAGCAACAGTGTGTGAAAACCTTGTGAAGACTTACAGAAAACGTTTGACCTGTGTCATTGCCAACAAAGGGTATATAACAAAGTATTGAGAAACGTTTGTTATTGACCAAATACTTATTTTCCACCATAATTTGCAAATAAATTCATTCAAAATCCTACAATGTGATTTTGTCTGTCATAGTTGACGTGTACCTATGATGGAAATTACAGGCCTCTTTCATCTTTTTAAGTGGGAGAACTTGCACAATTGGTGGCTGACTAAATACTTTTTTTCCCCACTGTATATAAGTGCTATATATGTCTGGAATGTGCCTGCATCAGATATATACATAATCCTACACTCCTAGAAAGAATTGTTCCAACAGGGTTCTTCGGCTGTCCCCATAAGATAACCCTTTTTAGTTCCAGGTAGAACCATTTTTGGTTCCATGTAGAACCTCTGTGAAAAGGGTTCTACATAGAACCCAAAAGGGTTTTACCTGGAACCAAAAAGGGTTCTCCAAAGGGTTCTCCTATGGGGACAGCCAAATAACCCTTTTAGGTTCTAGATATTACCTTTTTTTCTAAAAGTGTCGACATTTAATTTCAGAAGTCATTTTCTATATTGTACACTTGGGTTTTGTAAGTATTTCCTTACCATTGTAAAGCTGAAAGCCATTTCTCCTTCGCCTCAGATGAACTGATAGGGAAGACAAATGTCATATTTCCCCCCCCCAAGTTTAATGTTAATCTATTATTCTGGCAATTGAAAATGTGATTTTGATGAAATGCCATGTTCTTACCAAAAATGACCAGATTGGAGTAGCCTACCTGAGAGTCACCACGTAATTGGTGGTAGGCCAGCCAATGACAAAGGAGTTCTTTGAGCTCAGTTTTCTCTCTGCAACCTCTTCCATGCAAGAAGCCAACCACATCTCACACAGCCTCACGCTCTCCTTCAGTTTGAGGCTTGAGGAAGACCTGCAAGACAACAGGGTAGATACACCACTATCAGCTATCTATCAGTACCAGGGACGGCCTGTTCAATAGGGCGATATGGGCGACGCACTGCCAAACGGGAAAAGGAAGGGATTTTTTTCAACACAGTAGTTATCAGTGTTGTAATCTATACGTCTGATCTGCCACAGTGCCACACTGCCACTAAACGTCGAATCAGGCTAAAGTCGTGCTTCAAATGGCTCCACCCCCTTTTGGGGCGATTTCAGTCAGATTGAAAATCGCCCAGAACTTCTGTCATAGACTCCCATGTAAAATCTATTTTTTTCAAATTTCAGAGCCTTCAATACAATCTCAATGGGTGTCTGTGGGCTTGCACTTACGCGCTTTCGTCATACGTTACGTAACCATGAACGTAACTGAGAAAAGAGTGGATTGTTTGAAAGAAGTTCCTTTTTGTCGGCGAACGAATGAAGATAAATTGGCAACGAAACAATTAGGACCTCCCAGACCAAATTTAATAATTCAACAGGTTTCTACTAAAGGCGGAAAGTCCTACACCCGAGGATTTTCCAAAAATTGGTACGAACGAAAAAAGACATTGCCACTCACTCAACTGGATGACGAGGGATACAGGCTAGCTGTCCGCCGCCACAACGATGAGGTTAGTGTTGATAATCACAAGTTTACTGGATGTGGATATGGTGTAATAAAGGCAGTTTATTCAGAGGTAAATATATCTGGAATCGCGTTCACGGACCCGTTCGTCAAACTCTTAGGGAGCTATAAATTAAGCCCCATTACTTACCATATCAGATAAGAGAAATTGCTGCAGCTACATATATTTTACATCCTGGCCCTACATAGTTCACTATTTGCATCACTTACCAAAATATTACATGTGGTCATATATGCTTGGAAAGTGGAGATGCCATAGAACGTCAAAAAAGTAAACATTGCTGGAGACACATTGCCGTTTTGGAGAAGACATCGCGTTTGCTAGCGAAGAGATTTGTTGTGGCAAATGAACTTGGGCTGGGAATTGCCAGGAACCTCACGATAAGATATATGCATCAGCATTGCGAGTCTCATGATTCTATACGTATTGCGATTCGATACTGTGATTTTATTGCGCACCATATGTCTGTTGCAGAGGGATCAGAAAGCCATGAGAACGAGTTTTGATCAGTCATGGAAATAAAAGTGCTGAAAACAAATTGGCTCCCAATGTGAAAAGATTGAGAACAAGCTATGAAGGAACAATAATGGTGTTTTGGTGCAGGTACAGCCAACTAGCGCTAAAATATTGCGATATTGTCAATACAGTATATCGTAAAGTATCACTATGTAACTCGATTTCTTTCACCCCAATCCCTCAAATTAACGGTAAATAACTGAATTGTTTGCCCCACATTTAGCTAAGATGATTAGCTAGCCAGCTAAAATGTTTTAGTTAGTTAGCAGTCGCATCTACAATAGTTTACTGTCAATAACATGTCTCCAAAAATGACGTGGTGTCTCCAATTGTGTTGACATTTTACAATTGCAATGCGCATCCATGAGTATCCACTTTCTGTAGCTCAGCTGGTAGAGCATGGTGCTTGTAACGCCAAGGTAGTGGGTTCGATCCCCGGGACCACCCATACACAAAAATGTATGCACGCATGACTGTAAGTCGCTTTGGATAAAAGCGTCTGCTAAATGGCATATTATTATTATTATTATTATTATTATTATTATTATCTGAAGAGAGCCCCGAAACATTGTGTGCAGACATTTTATGCAATAAATGAAGTAGGTTCAATCTAGTAGTTCTGATCTTCTGATTGGTCCTGATGAGTTGGGCGAGGTCCCCTGCAGGCTACTGTCACTGTTGCATTGGCTCTGAGTCGGGTTCTCTGTCTTCAAATGTTCAGCCTAAGAGAGGGGATTTTTGTGTGTGTGTGTGTGTGTGTGTGTTTAACAGTGATGATGTGTGTGTGTGTGTGTTTGTGTGTGTGTGTGTCCTCAGAGCAAGAACTCGTGAGTTGGAAGAACTGAGAGGCCTATGGCGTGGGTGTTGTCCTTGGCCACCTGCTGACAAGGCTGACAAGATAGGACCCTTTTGTCCATTGTTATTGGATAGGAACAGAACTTATAACCAGCTCCTGACCTAAATAGATCTTAGCACAACATTTTACTCAACATATCATATTCCATATTCACTATAACAAATATATTTACTACGACATTAGCAAGAACCGCCACATCCTCAGCCGGCTAATCCAGTGTGTGAAGTTTTGCGGAGTGTTTGAGTTAGCTTTGCGAGGCAAAGATGAAACTGAGGGCTCCACCAACCCTGGTAAGCCAACACTTTTGAGATCAGTCAATAAATGCTTCTGGTATTGACTTATATGCTGCCCCTGTCTTCATGTTGTTGCTGGACATATCTTTTTTTAAATGTGTGTAGGTCACCTAAATCATCAGAAAAATTGCCCCTCCTGAGAATTTTTTCAGGAGCCGCCACTGATCAGTACAAATACAACGTTAATTGCAATCATCAATTACATTATATATATTTTTTAATTAAAGTGTCACTCTCGTCCTAAGATTATCAAAATCTGCACAATTGACATAAATAACAAAATGCTCACTTCTAATATGCCATTGTTAGTTGTCATCTATTCCCATTCATCTTGTTCAGTAAGTGGACATTATTTTTAGATGCTGAGGACTAACTTTGATTTAGTGATGATGAGTGTGTCACTGAAAAGGAACAAGTGTCTCTCTTGGGTCTGCGGTCCAGTGCTGAGCTGCATGCGCTCCTCCATCACAAACTCTGCACTCTGGGACGTTAGGCTCTGGATCAGCTGTGCTCTTGGTGATGGGACTGGGACGCCATCCCTAAAGACAAAAACCACTCTGTAAAGGCGATATCATGTCTCTGGCAATGATTCAGTTAATTGTACTTTTAATTTAATTGAATCCACTTGGGTGACTTTGCCTTGAGTCTCCCATCAAACAGGCATTTACAATACATTTATCACATCACAGAAAAAACACACAGGGGTTACATACTTTGTAGGGGTTACATATTTGAATAATTTAACTATTTAGATGTCTGATACTCATGGGAATGCATGGCTTCTGGGCACCCGTTGTATATAAGTGATGTTTATTTAAGTTTAATTGTAATTAAATAATTCAATGTTCAACAAATATGAGTGTGTCTGATCTGACGACTCAAATACTTGCCTAAGGGAAATGGAACTACAACGTAGCTCCCAGTAGCACACAAACGTGTCAAATGACAATTATTTATTTAGTATCAATGTTGAAATCACTATGATTGTTGCTGCAAATACAAAAGCATGTACTACAGTACTGATTGTCTGCCTTGAAAAAGTTATTTGTACATGACTGTGAGACAAAAAAGGGCACAGAGAGGGAATCCAGACATCTACAGAATGAAGTGTGGATTGATAGCCATCTTTTGTAAACCAAGCCAATCAAAAGGTAGATAGAGACTAAATTCTCTTCCATTTTTATAGGAGCTAATCCAAGATGGCAAGAGCCCCACGTGCCATATTTCAAAGGGGTTGTTTGTGTTACCCCTCACTGTTTATCTGCCGTTACCATGATAGAGCAGCTCTGAGGCCAAATAAAGGCAGGAATTATTTGCAGATGGCAGCGCTACAGACCTTGGGACTGTGGAGTGCTGTGTGCGTTATGCGTCACTGAGACAGTGAGCTAGAGCAGGGCTTGGAGAAGAGAGGAGGATCAAACATGAAAACAAAATGTTAGCCACTCCACAGCTCAAGGGCAGTACAAACGTCTTTGGAGAAACTAGATTGATGAAACTGAGAGTATAGAAAACCACACAAGCCTATCCATAGGTCGGATGGGGCATATGCATTCTTCTGCTGAATTCTAATGTCACGCCCTGGCTCGGGGGACTCTTAAATGTTGAGCCAGGGTGTGGAATTTCTGTTACATTTTCTATGTTTTCGTTCTAGATCGTTTAGATCTATGTTGGCCAGGGTGGTTCCCAATCAGAGGCAGCTGTAGCTCGTTGTCTCTGATTGGGGACCATACTTAGGCAGCCTGTTTTCACTAGTTTATTGTGGGATCTTGTTCCGAAAGGTTTGTGTTGTAACCTAGGACTTCACGTATCGTTCGTTTGTTGTTTTGGTTCGTGTGTGTACTGAATAAAGAATGTACGCTTATCACGCTGCGCCTTGGTCCGCTTCATCTGTCGACGATCGTGACAACTAACAAAACATACCTTAACCAGTATGACAGGATGTCGTTCAATAACTCATCACAACATAAGTCTACCAGTCTGCTTCGAGTTTGCTTTTATGGCAAATGCAGTGGCAGGGCCTGTGCAAAGCTGACAGCAGTACAAATATTGTATTACTGAACAATAACAATGGCTGGAAAAACGTAGATTTTCCTGTCAGATGAGACTGTTATTATGGCTGAGCAGTGAGTAAACAGAAGCAGTCACTGACATGAGACAAATGGAGCTGTTAATACAAATAGCATGAGTAAAAAGGGGAAACAAGCCTGGAGACAAGTGTGTAGACAGACAGACAGACAGACAGACAGACAGACAGACAGACAGACAGACAGACAGACAGACAGACAGACAGACAGATGGTTGGGCACTGCAAGTGGCAGTACTTTTTATATGGCTGACCTGCTGTGGCCCTTCGGTTTGCTGAAGGCCTTTGTGATGGCTGATTGGCCAGAGTGTCTTCGCTGAAGCGTTGTCCTCATTTTCTATGAGAAAAAACATCAATTTTCCGATCAAGGATGAGATAAACAAATCATTCATTCCTGGAGCCAAAAGTGGCTTGGTAAAGGGGTAGTTCACCCATATTAACAACATTAGATGATTCCCTACCTTGAAAGTAGTGTATGGAACAGGATAGACTGTTTACATTTACATTTTACATTTCAGTTATTTAGCGGACGCTCTTGTCCAGAGCAACTTACAGTTAGTGCATTCATCTTATGATGGCTAGGTGAGACAACCACATATCTCAGTCATAGTAAGTACATTTTCCCTCAATAAAGTAGCTGTCAGCAAAGTCAGTGCTAATACGAAAAGTAGAGTGTTAGTTAGCTGATGTTGTAGGTGCTGTGTGCCCACAGAACGCAGTCCTACAGACTGCATTTGTTACACTGCCACCAACTGCTAACTTTACCAGTTTAATTATGCTTAATTAAAGCGCACAAAGACTTGTGGAAAATAATTATTGAGAGGAGATCATGTTTTCATTGTTATTAATTACTGTTATTATTTCATTACACATGACCAACCTTCAAAGTGATTGGATTGTCTTTCCTAATGACTTGGTTTGCAGTGACCTTCATGTAATTTTGCTGAGGAGAGCCTTGTTTTGACCATGCACTGTAATCTAGAACACATTAACGCAGCAGGAAAATAAGTTTGCAGTCAGTGACAGAGAAGTAAAGAAAGTCAGCAGGCAGTCACTGACAATTTTGCCCACTGGGTAGAGCCCATGTAAAATTGGTAATACCAGGAATTGATATCTGTAGGCCTACTCTGTACATGGTTAGTAGGGCCGGGACGATATCAGTTTTGCGATATTCGTTAGTATCGTGGCAAGGAAACAAAACACTAAGCGGATTTAACTTCTTTAGGAAAACAACCCTAATTTTGGAAACAAACATCCCTATGTTGTCATCCAAAGTCACATGTATTTATTTCCTAAGCTATAGCACACAATATTTTACATATAGCAGGTTTTTAAAGGACCAAAGAGTTTGGTCTGCTTCGTGTTTACATTTTTGCCATGGAAAAAATATTGCGATACTGGTATCGTCACAGCCCTAATGGTTAGTCATTTATCATCCATAAAACAACACATTTCACTGCGCCTATCCGGTGTACAGTATGTGACAATAAAAAAATATATATATCAAATTGTAGGCTACTGCATCTCATAAAGTACAATACAATATAACTGTAGCACTGCATAAATAAATAACTAACATGTTTTTTCCATAGCTGATGGAAAGCAGCATGTGGGATAGGTGCATCTGTTTCCTGCCTCTGCTAGGCAGCTGTGGAGTGTAGGAAGCCCTCACCATCCCGTCAGTATTATTAGCCCATGGTGATAGAGCTACACAATGCTGCCGGGGGGTTTAAAATAGAATGCTCAACTCCTCAACATTAAATCTGTGTGGTCCAATTTTTTGGTCCATTTGGATGGACACAAAAATAGAAATATTGATACACTTGTTATGTATTGTGTGCTGTGCAAGTATTTTCTATGGTATTGCAAATCTCTCTATATATGACATCATTTACATTTGATTCATCCACCTCCATTTTGTCTTGATTTTCTTAAATGAAAGCCAATATTGCCTCTGTCAAAGACTGTTAATGTCCATCTGCATTATTACTATGTGGAACTTAGCTTTCCTACTCTACAATCCAGCTTGTATGCAGTAAATGTGCACACTGATTTTTTATTTATTTATTTTTTAAATGTATTTATTTATTTATTATTATTATTATTATTTTTATTACGGGGTAGATCAGCTTAGTATTGCAGATAGATTGTAACTTCCATCAATGTAATTGTCTGCATCACTTCCAATCCTCCATGTTTTATATATATATAATAGGCATACAGTGGGGGGAAAAAGTATTTAGTCAGCCACCAATTGTGCAAGTTCTCCCACTTAAAAAGATGAGAGAGGCCTGTAATTTTCATCATAGGTACACGTCAACTATGACAGACAAAATGAGAAGAAAAAAAATCCAGAAAATCACATTGTAGGATTTTTAATGAATTTATTTGCAAATTATGGTGGAAAATAAGTATTTGGTCAATAACAAAAGTTTCTCAATACTTCGTTATATACCCTTTGTTGGCAATGACACAGGTCAAACGTTTTCTGTAAGTCTTCACAAGGTTTTCACACACTGTTGCTGGTATTTTGGCCCATTCCTCCATGCAGATCTCCTCTAGAGCAGTGATGTTTTGGGGCTGTCGCTGGGCAACACGGACTTTCAACTCCCTCCAAAGATTTTCTATGGGGTTGAGATCTGGAGACTGGCTAGGCCACTCCAGGACCTTGAAATGCTTCTTACGAAGCCACTCCTTCGTTGCCCGGGCGGTGTGTTTGGGATCATTGTCATGCTGAAAGACCCAGCCACGTTTCATCTTCAATGCCCTTGCTGATGGAAGGAGGTTTTCACTCAAAATCTCATGATACATGGCCCCATTCATTCTTTCCTTTACACGGATCAGTCGTCCTGGTCCCTTTGCAGAAAAACAGCCCCAAAGCATGATGTTTCCACCCCCATGCTTCACAGTAGGTATGGTGTTCTTTGGATGCAACTCAGCATTCTTTGTCCTCCAAACATGACGAGTTGAGTTTTTACCAAAAAGTTATATTTTGGTTTAATCTGACCATATGACATTCTCCCAATCCTCTTCTGGATCATCCAAATGCACTCTAGCAAACTTCAGACGGGCCTGGACATGTACTGGCTTAAGCAGGGGGACACATCTGGCACTGCAGGATTTGAGTCCCTGGCGGCGTAGTGTGTTACTGATGATAGGCTTTGTTACTTTGGTCCCAGCTCTCTGCAGGTCATTCACTAGGTCCCCCCGTGTGGTTCTGGGATTTTTGCTCACCGTTCTTGTGATCATTTTGACCCCACGGGGTGAGATCTTGCATGGAGCCCCAGATCGAGGGAGATTATCAGTGGTCTTGTATGTCTTCCATTTCCTAATAATTGCTCCCACAGATGATTTCTTCAAACCAAGCTGCTTACCTATTGCAGATTCAGTCTTCCCAGCCTGGTGCAGGTCTACAATTTTGTTTCTGGTGTCCTTTGACAGCTCTTTGGTCTTGGCCATAGTGGAGTTTGGAGTGTGACTGTTTGAGGTTGTGGACAGGTGTCTTTTATACTGATAACAAGTTCAAACAGGTGCCATTAATACAGGTAACGAGTGGAGGACAGAGGAGCCTCTTAAAGAAGAAGTTACAGGTCTGTGAGAGCCAGATATCTTGCTTGTTTGTAGGTGACCAAATACTTATTTTCCACCATAATTTGCAAATAAATTCATAAAAAATCCTACAATGTGATTTTCTGGAATTTTTTTTCTCAATTTGTCTGTCATAGTTGACGTGTACCTATGATGAAAATTACAGGCCTCTCTCATCTTTTTAAGTGGGAGAACTTGCACAATTGGTGGCTGACTAAATACATATACATATATATATATACATACATACACACATACACATATACATACATACATACATACATACATACACATACATATCCTTTAAAAAATACATATTCCCCTTTATTACTTTCCAACCCCACCACCCTTTCCCTAATTGGAGTAAACTAGTGAACAACAATGCTTAGGCCTCTACTTCCAGCTTATACTTACTATATACATTTTATGGACACAGTCAATTTTACAATAATTATATTTTGTTAGTTTTTTCTCCTGAACTTCTTCTACTCTCAACCTCTCCGATCATTTTCATGATGTCCATCCGGTTTGCTTCTATATGCCATATCTTTCTAACTGTGCTCTTTCACAAAAGCTCCCAACCTACAACCTATATACTTATTATGGACACAGTATGCTTACATTATACAATCCATCTTGTATGCAGTAGATGTGCACACTGATTATTGTTATATAAAATAATTAGTTGGGTATCATTGTGTAGCTGTCTTCTCCAACCATATATAGTGTAGGATGGTGAATTCAATTTCAACCTTGGATCGTCAAGCCCAGTGATGTAAAGAGACCACACACAAGTTCCATTAACATGATAGGTAAATGAGAGGATAATACAGAGGAGAGGAGACTGCCATTGTCGACATACATCTAAGTTGTAGGACATGCTATGTAAAACCTTGATACAGCTTTCAGCCTGATTTACAGAGATGAATACAAAATATTATTCTACATTCTAAACATTAATCTACTCTTTGTAGATGTACAGTAGGTGTATCCTCTCTCTCTCTCTCTCTCTCTCTCTCTCTCTCTCTCACTCTCTCACTCTCTCACTCTCTCACTCTCACTCTCTCACACACACACACACACACACACACACACACACACACACACACACACACACACACACACACACACACACACACACACACACACACACACACACACACACACACACACACACACAGTGAATTGAGATCGCACAGTACCTACTGTAGAACATTAAAGACAATAAAGTATGATTAGTACTTACCTTCTCCTTCTCTTGAATACTTGACTCATTGCAGTTTACTTTGCAGTGGGGGCCAATGCTTTGTTGAGGGGTCATCTTTTTAAGCCCAGAAGGTCACAAACGAAGTCACATACTGTAATGTCCTAGTGCACTTCGATGCTGCCGTTCACTACATAGGAACATTTTAAAAACTTGTAAAAGTCTGGCAGAGAGGTAGCAAGCAATCAGAGTCACACTTTGCTTGACAAAATAATTGGTTTGTGCTGACAGCCCTGTACAGTGGCACCCTTTTCCCAAACCCCACTGCTTTCTGGGCTGGGCCTCCCACTTTCCTCCTCACTGACTAAATAAGGATATCCCAACCTAGTCTCCTCACACTGTAGCCAGTGTGCATGCAGCACACTGAGGATGGGGCAGACAGTCGGTCAAGAGGACCTTCTCAGGTTACAGTTCATTACCCAGCCTTCACCCAGGGGGCACTAAGGAGGAAGTTGTGGGGAATTGAGGCTGCACAGTGCTCTCAACCTCTCCTGCCTGTGGTAGGACTGAGGTTGGTGAGAATAAACATTATTCTTTTTTTATATATACTTTTTTTTTTCTCATACTGGCCCCCCGTGGGAATCGAACCACAACCCTGGCCGTGGCAAACGCATGCTCTACCACTGACTACCCTCCCTGTCGGCCATTCCCTCCCATACCCTGGACGACGCTGGGCCATTGTGCGCCGCCCCATTGGTCTCCCGGTTGCGGCCTGCTACAGCAGAGCCTGGATTCGAACCAGGATCTCTAGTGGCACAGCTAGCACTGCGATGCAGTGCCTTAGACCACTGCGCCACTCGGAGTGAGTTGTTCAACTGAACCTTTTTTTTTCAAATGTTTCTTGTTTCAACAGTGTCTTAAGAGACTTGTATTTCCTTCAACTACACAGTGTAATAATAGAGAGAAGTGAACGAATGGTATGAGGAAGTGTTTTTTTTTCTTTCTTTTAGAGGTGAACTGAATGTTCACACTCACACACCCTGTGAAACAAAGCTGTGAGTTCCTATATTTATCTCTGACATGCACTCATTTTCGCTTATCATGGATGACATTTCTTAGACTCGCCTCAACTAAGGGAATCATAAGCTAGAAAGCAACTGAAAGATACTACAGTAGAAGCTGCTGCGTTGTGCTTGACTACACATGACTACACATTACTACACATTAATTTTGACAGTTGTATAATTACGGTATCATTGATAAAAATTCTCACCATGATAATACGCAGGGTTATTCTGTAGCTATTGTAGAACAAGGACTTCTATGGTTCAATAGCTTTAAGTACCAAGAAGATTGCTTGTGATGTGTGACATGCATCAATTGTGTTGTATGACATTACTTGTGACATGGATGACATGTTGACACAAACACGACCCACACTCTATTACCAGGGTATTGAGTCTCTCTAATGTTATTGCATTGCATTGACAAGTAATTTGTCACATACGCCGAATACAACAGGTGTAGACCTTACCGTAAAATGCTTACTTACATGCCCTTAACCAACAATGTAGTTCAAGAAATAGAGTTAAGAAGATATTTACTATATAAACTAAAGTAAAAAATAAAATACAAAGTAACTCAATAAAATAACAAAAATGAGGCTATATACAGGGAGTACCGGTACCGAGTCAATGTGCAGGGGTACAGGTTAGTCAAGGTAATTTGTGCAGGGGGGGGGGTCAATGTAAATAGTCTGGGTGGCCATTTGATTAATTGTTCAGCGGTCTTATGGTTTGGGGGTAGAAGCTGTAAAGGAGACTTTTGGACCTAGACTTGACGCTCCGGTACTGCTCGCCGTGCGGTAGCAGAGAGAACAGTCTATGACCTGAGTGACTGGAGTCTTTGAAAAAATGTTGGGCCTTCATCTGACACCGCCTAGTATATAGGTCCTGGATGGCAGGAAGCTTGGCCCCAGTGATGTACTGGGCCGTACGCACTACCCTCTGTAGGGGAAAAGGTGTTGTCGTGCCCTCTTCATGACTGTCTTGGTGTGTTTGGACCATGATAGTTCATTGGTGATGTGGACACCAAGGAACTTGACACTCTCGACCCGTTCCACTACAGCCCCATAGGTGCTTATGGGGGCCTGTTCGGCCCTCCTTTTCCTGTAGTCCACGGTCAGCTCCTTTGTCTTGCTCACGTTGAGGGAGAGGTTGTTGTCCTGGCACCACACTGCCAGGTCTCTGACTTCCTCCCTATAGGCTTTCTCATCGTTGTCGGTGATCAGGCCTACCACTGTTGTGTCGTCAGCAAACTTAATGATGGTGTTGGAGTCGTGCTTGGACACGGAGTCGTGGGTGAACAGGGAGTACAGGAGGGGACTAAGCACGCACCCCTGAGGGGCCCCAGTGTTGAGGATCAGCGTGGCAGATGTGTTGTTACCTACCCTTACCACCTGGGGGCGGCCCGTCAGGAAGTCCAGGTTCCAATTGCAGAGGGAGGTATTTAGTCCCAGGGTCCTTAGCTTAGTGATGAGCTTTGTGGGCACTATGGTGTTCAAGGACTGTGTGAGAGTCAGGCTGGGAAAGAATACAGCGCATTCAGAAAGTATTCAAACCCCTTCACTTTTTCCACATTTTGTTGCGTTTCAGCCTTATTCAAAAATAGATTAAATTGTTTTTTTTCCTCATCAATCTACTCACAATACCCCATAATGACGAATCAAAAACAGTTTTTTATAAATTTGTGCACATTTATTGAAAATAAAAAACTGAAATATTACATTTACATTAGTATTCAGACCCTTTACTCAGTATTTTGTTGAGCCACCTTTGGCAGCGATTACAGCCTTGAGTCTTCTTGGGTATGACGCTACAAGCTTGGCACACCTGTATTTGGGGAGTTTCTCCCATTCTTCTCTGCAGATCCTCTCAAGCTCTGTCAGGTTGGATGGGGAGCGTCGCTGCACAGCTATTTTCAGGTCTCTCCAGAGATGTTCGATCAGGTTCAAGTCTGGGCTCTGGCTGGGCCACTCAAGGACATTCAGAGACTTATCCCGAAGCCACTCCTGCGTTATCTTGGCTGTGTGCTTAGGGTCATTGTCCTGTTGGAAGGTGAACCTTCACGCCAGTCTGACGCCCTGAGCGCTCTGGAGCAGGATTTCATCAAGGATCTCTCTGTACTTTGCTCTGTTCATCTTTACCTCGATCCTGACTAGTCTCCCAGCCCTGCCGCTGAAAAACATCCCCCCCAGCATGATGCTGCCACCACCATGCTTCACCGTAGGGATGGTGCCAGGTTTCCTCCAGACGTGATGCTTGGCATTCAGGCCAAAGAATTCAATCTTGGTTTCATCAGACCAGAGAGTCTTATTTCTAATGGTCTGAGAGTCCTTTAGGTGCCTTTTGGCAAACTCCAAGCAGGCTGTCATGTGCCTTTTACTGAGGAGTGGCTTCATAAAGGCCTGATTGGCGGAGTGCTGCAGAGATGGTTGTCCTTTCTGAAGGTTCTCCCATCTCTACAGAGGAACTCTGGAGCTCTGTCAGAGTGAACATCGGGTTCTTGGTCACATCCCTGACCAAGGCCCTTCTCCCCCGATTGCTCAGTTTGGCAGCCAGCTCTAGGAAGAGTCTTGGTGGTTCCAAACGTCTTCCATTTAAGAATGATGGAGGCCACTGTGTTCTTGGGGACCTTCAATGCTGCAGAAATGTTTTGGTACCCTTCCCCAGATCTGTGCCTCGACACAATCCTGTCTCGGAGCTCTACGGACAATTCCTTCGACCTCATGGCTTGCTTTTTGCTCTGACATGCGCTGTCAACCTTATATAGACATTTGTGTGCCTTTCCAAATCATGTCCAATCAATTGAATTTACCACAGGTGGACTCCAATGAAGTTGTAGAAACATCTCAAGGATGATCAATGGAAACAGGATGAACCTGAGCTCAATTTCGAGTCTCATAGCAAAGGGTCTGAATACTTACGTAAATAAGGTTTTCCTGTTTTCACTTTGTCATTATGGGGTATTGTGTGTAGAAAATGTATTCAATCCATTTGAGAATAAGGCTGTAATGTAACAAAATGTGGGGTCTGAATACTTTCCGAATGCACTGTAAGTAATAAATCGTTTGTCACAATAGCTCTGGACTGAACAGCCAACACAGGAGAACGCAAATAAGATATAATGTTATTTTACTTTCATCAAGAGGTCATTCCTTTTCCACATTGTATTTCATGTGCATGGATCTCTGAAACTGTATTGACAAAGTGGCTCAATTTCAAACTGCCATCTGAAGCATTTCACAACCATGACATGTTGTCACTTTGGTTCCAGATATTTCCTGCTAACTAGCCTTGCAGTTATCTTCCTCATTGTAGCTTCCTCTTTGTGATGTTAAGGCTTATTAATGATCAGGCGTGTTGTCAGATGCACAGTATCATCAGTGTCTTTGTCGCCGTTTGGTCAAAGGAGAGAACTCGACTAAGGAATCATTGGGGCATACACTAAACATCCACCATTTCAACTAGAGGTCAAATCATTCAGGTATAACATTATATTGTTTCATGGTTTAATTTATAATTCATTAAATTGACATAACAAATCTGTACAACTTTGCAATATATTATACAGTATAATGTATTGCTTTTTCTGAATGTAATGGGTCTTTGGTCATTGTTTCTATTTGATTTGTGGTTTTATGAAGATATCAACAGAACTGTTATCTACCCTAAACAAACAGTTGAAAGGTGCTGGTCCAGGATAGTCCACTGGTTTCACTAAAGTACAGTTAAGTACACCAAAACAAAAAAGTACATCAAGACAAAAAAGAGCCTGGAGTTAAATGTTTGGACAGCGAATACATTCATGTTTAAAAATTACACAAATGTGTCTTCTTTTCATACTACAGGCTCATCGTCAGCAACTGTGAGAGCAGGCCCCCCACTTAGTGTATTTGACAAGCTGAGTTGGACACTCAGTATGACAGGGTGTCAGTTTGTCAAATACCCCAAGTGAGGGGTCACTTGTCTGCTGAGCATCTCCCATCAATTGACTTCAAAGAAGATCACTTCATTGACCTCCAAGTGACTTTCACTGTTAAGACTTTCTCAGAGGCAACACATTTTGATTATGTGAAAGATATTGTCTTTATCTACTACGAGCGATAGTGTACATTTGATCACGCACTGTCACTAATTTCTCATGCATTTGGTGTAAGTTTGTATGATGGAACTTGGTACACTGTGTAACAAATGTGTGTGTTTGTCTCTGTATTAAATATTGCATAAGTACTGGGTTATATAAAATTGAGGTCCCTAGTATATTTATAGACGATGTGTATAGATGAATAGGAATGAATAGAAATTGAATAATGA